GCATTCTGTCGCTCTTTTTTCCCCTCCTCCCCCCCCTGACCTCCTCTCCCCCCCACTCCCACCATTCTTCGCCTCCTTCTGTGCCGCTGATGGGTGTATTTTTAGCCTCAGTGTTTCTAATCTTAGCTCCTTGAGGCTCTGGAGGGAAATAAATAAATAAAGTGGAAATGAAGGGAAGGCTGTGTGTTGTGTGGGAGTGAGGATGGCGACGATAGCTGTGCCTTGACACGTGTCTGGATCTGTGAGTCTCAGTGACTGTGCTGTAGTCAAACCAGACCTCGTAAAAAGCTCCGAAAAACAAAGAAGAAACACGACGTTTCTTCATATCACTAGGATGTGTTCCCAGCAAGACAGATGTAGCGGTTAAAACCAGCAGGGGGCAGCCCAATGTGCTAGCTGTTAAGCTAAATTCTTTGTCTGACATAAAACAGGGGGTCGATTTACGACGTCCTCGATCGTGGTCACGTCGCCATCTCCTATTAATTTATTAAGAAAGTATTGTTCCGTCATTCCGACGTACGGCGTTAAAACAACAACAGGAACTAGTTGGCAAGCGGAGCAGATAACTATGTCGTTTACCAGCGCTATACGCGGAGCATGGCTTTGTTTACATTCGCCAGTTGTACGCCATACGCTGGATTTTGCTACATTTGCTTTTAGGACACACTCTGGCCTGCAGTCTTAAAGTTTGCCCATGCCTGTCCTCGATTATGACGCGTTAGCATAAAAGTTTCAACCTACTCTGAAAATCCAGTTATGTCACACCCTCGGACCGGAACTCCTATGAAAGTAAAGGACCCCCTGTACTGCTAACTATGCTAACCGGCTATTCGACTAAACATGTATGACCACTAATCTTGTCAACAAAATGTCAACCTTCCTACACACCTGTAGAGCGCCCTCTACTTTGTGACAACAGGTGGATGCTGGGAACATAAGGTAGGTCGATGCACCTGCAGCTGAATACCAGCGTTGTTTTAATACAAACCACACCAAGACGAACACCCCCCCCCCCCCCCCCCCCCCATCAAATATGCTCCATCCCCTCCGGCTCTGAATCTACTCTGTAGTTTTCTGCATTGTGAGAAATGTCCACGTAGCTCGACACACTCCACTAGACCCGTGCCTTTTGCGCGCCATGTGTCTCTTGTTTAATTGATGAAGCCAACGCCTTCATCCCTCTGAGATCGATTCTCTGTGTACTGCAGACGCTATTCGGGCGCTGTTGTGCAGCCTGCCCGTACAAACATATTCATACACATGCACGCTCGCTGTGTCCAGGGCTGCAGCTGCTGCTGGAAGCAGAAGAGCTGTGCATACATAAACCGCTGGACATCTGCAGAGCCGGTACTTGTACATCACAGCAGCAGGAACAACATCATGTCGCGTATCACCTACACTGGTGACCATGAAATTGTTGACAGCCAATATGCAGAGATACTGTATATATATAGACACACACACACACATATATATATATATACATATATAAAAAAATATATACACACATACAGTATATATATACACATACATATATGTATATATATATACTGTATGTATGTATGTATATATGTATATATATGTGTATATATATGTATATATATACATATATATACATATATACATACATACATATATATATACACATATATACATACACACATATATATATATATATACACACATATATATATATACATACACACATATGTACATACATACATATACGTATATATACATATATAGATACATATGTGTGTATATATATTTATATATCTATTTACATACATACACACATATACGTGTATAATGACTCTCTGTAACAGCTCTGCAGTAAACGTGCGCCGCCTGCAGAAGCAGAGAACACGACGGCAGCGTGGATAAGGTGGTGATGGTTTACAAACGGCGAATGTAAGCACAAAGAAAAATGAGACTGCTGAAATCCACCCTGCTCCTCCTCCACAGCCTCCTCCTCCTCCTCCTCCTTTTTTCTTCCCCTCGGTTGACTGAGCTCTATTTATATCCAGCAGGATCCAATCTTAGCAGCAGCTGCAGGGGACACAGCCAGTCAGGAAAAGCCCGTGCTTCCCCCCTCTCTATTTTTAGCAGCAGGGCAGCTTTAAACAGCAGCACTGAGCTATTTCTGTCCCAATGTTTCACTGCTGTGCAACACACAGACTCGGAAAAAAAACACAGACACAGACAAAGGCGTAGACACAGACATAGACTGGGAGACGAGACGTTAGATTTGAACAAACTCAGAGATGATTCAGACACGGAATCAAGCTTAGAGACTCAGACTCAGACAGAGACTCGGACTCAACCCGTACGATACAACGATACAGCAGTATTTTGCGTTTATTTCTGGAGCTGGATGGCTCAGTGGATGTCCTGTGTATGTTTACGGTTTGTTGCTTTACGAGGTCTTGGGCCTTTCTACACCCTCTGGCACCCATTCACCAGATGATCTCCTTTCAGCTCACAGCTGCTCTCCGATCACGTCTGATTTACTTCACTGAATTGGTTTCAAACCACGTTTTGAGGTCGAATCGGATTTTCCCGCAGATGAGTTTAGGTTCAAGATTTTTGAAGAGTGCTGCTGAGAAATATTGATTTTAAACCTTTACTGACTTTGCTGCAGCGGTTTCTGTCAATGAGCCTGGTTTGTAGTTGTAACAGCAAAGCTACAATGAAAAAACTAAATGTATCCATTAACGGCAGCGATAAATCGTAAAACATGTACCGTAATTTCCGGACTATAAGCCGCTACTTTTTTCACACGCTTTGAACCCTTAAATGATGATGCGGCTAATTTATGGATTGTTCCCTGGCTAACGGAGCTCATACCGCTAGCGATCAATGACTTCCCTGGTAGGCTACTGTGTATTTTACTAGTAGCGTATGTCTGTCTGTGAATGGCTGTCTCGGTTGACTGATAATGAAGACCCCAACTTTCCTGTGTCTGTTTACTCGGTTGACTGATAATAAAGACCCCAACTTTCCTGTGTCTGTTTACCTCTGCTGTGGACAAACACAAAGCGAAGGGAGTTATTTATAACTTAATATATTTTTTGACAAATAATAATAAAAAAATTAATTTATCAATTTAAGAAACTCAGTAGCATGGACTTTATTTATTATAAGCTCCGGCGGGCCACACAAAACAACCTGGCGGGCAACTTTTGGCCCGTGAGCCTTGAATTTAACACATATGCACTAGAGTCTCCAAAGACACCAATTCAATACAAAACAGAAATTGAACTCAATTGAACTGGCTGCAATGATTCTCATGTCTGTCAGTGAAGACACAACAAGCAGATACGTATATGCCACTTAACTGCTGTGACACAAACTGTCCACTGGAGGCACTAGGTTTTAGCTAAATTCTTTTTTTTCCTCTATGGAATTCGAGGTAGAATAATGGGCTAAAACTAAAAACTCAGGTTGACGTCACGGTATTTGCTCCGGACACATTTTGAACCAACAGTCGAACGTTGTACGAGGAACCACTTGAGAATGTAAAAATGGCCAACCGCCTGCAGGGTTTGTTGGCAGCCCTTGAGAGAATAAGCTCCAAGGCTGCGCTGGCAGAACCATTCATGCACGGAGTGATCATGTGTGGATTTGAAAGCAGAGTCTTTGAGGTCAAGGCTTTGCCTTTCTCATCGGTAAGAGACGCCTCTAGAGGTTCACAGTGTCTCCAGGCGGCACCATTATCACCGTATGAAATATCATTTTCCATTTTGCACTTCCAAGGCTGCACGTGCGCCGGTGTGACAGATCTGCTGAACTACACGATGAGCACACCAAGCACATACCCTACGTTATTTAAAAACAAGCCTTGTCGCTGCTTTTCCAAGTCAATGATTACTCAGGAGGTTAGAGGTGCATCACTTTAAAGGGGGGTAATTACG